TTGCATCCGAACCTTAACAATATAACCATCATTAAATGCGTATCTCATGCAGTGAACAACATCGTCATTTCAACCGATCATTTTATACACAAAATAACATTAATCCGTAAAAATTATTTCATTTGCAGTTTTGTTTATGATTGCCATAGTAAATTGTCACCAATTTTTAAATGATATAGTCTGCTTGACGTCTTAATACCATTTCATTGCAAATCGAAGTAGAAGTTTCCACCACCAAATCTTAATAAAGTGCATGCTGATACAGCTAATGGTTACATTTTAGTTCGAAAAGAAGACCAAAATTGTCTAAAAATATAGCGAGCGCCCACAGTTCCAATTTCAAATGGAAATTCACTTAAATTGCTCAGCGAGTCAAGACAGTTCCAATAATGATACGTTGTCGTGTGAGAGTTTTGTGCGTTTTGATACAGAAATAACACAAACCAATCTAAAATGAATAAAATCGCAACACGTACATATACAATGTGTATACTTGTTTAAAAAATCTGGTATACCTATAAAAAAGAACAGCTGCTAAATTTCTGAGTATTTAATTATCCCGTGTATACTGCCCTTGAACGTTATTGTCAATCATGTTGTATCCGAGAAAGTGGTCGTTTTGAAAAGATTTATCATATGAATGACTAGTTTTATTCACAATTAATTTTCCTGTTGAGATTATAATAGCTGCATTTTAGTTCAAAAAGTAAGATCAAATCAATCGACAAAAGCTTTCTTACTATTTCCAAAGCCTGACTGTTTTCCAAAATCTCATGAAAAGTTTCCTCTTATCATAACTTAATTTGCATCAGAACCTTAACAATATTACCATTATTAAATGCGTATCTCATGCAGTGAACAATATCGTTATTTCAACCGATCATTCTATACGCAAAATAACATTAATCCATATAAATGATTTCATTTGCAGTTTTGTTTATGATTGCCGTAGTAAATTGTCAGCCATTTTGAAATGATGTGGTCTGCTTGACGTCTTAATACCATTTCATTCTTCATCGAAGTAGAAGTTTCCACCACCAAATATTAACAAGTGCATGCTGATACAGCTATATGGTTACATTCTATTCGAAAAGAAGACCAAAGTTGTCTAAAAATATTGCGAGCACCCAGTTCCAATTTCACATGAAAATTCACTTAACTTGTGGGGCAAATCAAGACAGTTCCAATACTGACACGTTTTCGTGTGAGAGTTTTGTGCGTTTTGATACCGAAATAACAAAAACCGATCTAAAATGATTAAAGTCGCCTCACACAATGTGTATACTTGTTTTAAAAATTTGGTATACCTATAGGCCAGCATGCACAGTTGCTAAATTTCTGAGTATTTATTTATTCCGTGTATACTGCCCTTGTACGTTGTTGTCAACGTTGTATCCGGCGAAAGTGGTCGTTTTGAAAAGATTTATCATATGAATGAATAGTTTTATTCACAAATAATTTTCATGTTGAGATTATAATAGCTGCATTTTAGTTCAAAAAGTAAGATCAAATCAATCGACAAAAACTTTCTCACTTTTTCAAAAGCCTGACTGTTTTCCAAAATCTCATGAAAAGTTTCCTCCTATATTATCATAACTTAATTTGCATCAGAACCTTAACAATATAACCATCATAAATGCGTATCTCATGCAGTGAACAATATCGTCATTTCAACCGATCATTCTATACGGAAAATAACATTAATCCGTATAAATGATTTCATTTGCAGTTTTGTTTATGATTGCCATAATAAATTGTCAGCTATTTGAAATGATGTGGTCTGCTTGACGTCTTAAAACCATTTCATTGTAAATCGCAGTAGAAGTTCCCACCACCAAATTTTAACAAAGTGCATGCTGATACAGCTAATGCGGGTTACATTTTAGTTCGAAAAGAAGACCAAAGTTGTCTAAAAATATAGCGAGCACCCACAGTTCCAATTTAACATGAAAATTCACTTAACTTGGTCTGCGAATCAAGACAGTTCCAATACTGACACGTTGTCGTGTGAGAGTTTTGTGCGCTTTGATACAGAAGTAAGACAAACCGATCTAAAATGAATAAAATCGCCACACGTACATATACAATGTGTATACTTGTTTTTTTTTAAAATCTGGTATACCTATAAACGAGCACAGCTGCTAAATTTCTGAGTATTTAATTATCCCGTGTATACTGCCCTTGTACGTTGTTGTCAATCATGTTGTATCCGAGAAAGTGGTCGTTTTGAAGAGATTTATCATATGAATGAATAGTTTTATTCACAATTAATTTTCATGTTTAGATTATAATAGTTGCATTTTAGTTAAAAAAGTAAGATCAAATCAATCGACAAAAGCTTTTTTACTTTCTCCAAAGCCTGACTGTCCTCTAAAATCTCATGAAAAGTTTCCTCTTATCATAACTTAATTTGCATCAGAACCTTAACAATATAACCATCATTAAAATTAATGCGTATCTCATGCAGTGAACAATGTCGTCATTTCAACCGATCATTCTATACACAAAATAACATTAATCCGTATAAATTATTTCATTTGCAGCTTTGTTTATGGTTGCCATAGTAAATTGTCAGCTATTTTGAAATAATGTGGTCTGCTTGACGTCTTAAAACCATTTCATTGTAAATCGCAGTAGAAGTTTCCACCACCAAATCTTAACAAAGTGCATGCTGATACAGCTAATGGTTACTTAAAAAAGAAGACCAATTTGTGGAAAAACATACCGATCCAAAATGATTAATGTCGCCTCACACAATGTGTACTTGTTTTGAAAATCTTCTAAATCGATAAACGAGCATAGCTGCTGAATTTATGAGTATTTAATTATTCGGTCTACTGCCCTTGTTGTTTTCAATCATGTTGTATCCGAGAAAGTGGTCGTTTTGAAAAGATTTATCATATGAATGAATAGTTTAATTCACGATTAATTTTCATGTTGAGATTATAATAGCTGCATTTTAGTTCAAAAAGTAAGATCAAATCAATCGACAAAAACTTTCTCACTTTTTCAAAAGCCTAACTGTTTTACAAAATCTCGTGAAAAGTTTCCTCTTATCATAACTTAATTTGCATCAGGACCTTAACAATATAACCATCATTAAATGCGTATCTCATGCAGTGAACAATATCGTTATTTCAAGCGATCATTCTATACACAAAATAACATTAATCCGTATAAATGATTTCATTTGCAGTTTTGTTTATGATTGCCGTAGTAAATTGTCAGCCATTTTGAAATGATGTGGTCTGCTTTACGTCTTAATACCATTTCATTGTTCATCGAAGTAGAAGTTTCCACCACCAAATCTTAACAAAGAGCATGCTGATACAGCTAATGGTTACATTTTAGTTCAAAAAGAAAACCAAAGTTGTCTAAAATTATAGCGAGCACCGACAGTTCCAATTTAACATGAAAATTAACTTAACTTTCTGTGCGAATCAAGACAGTTCCAATAAGGACACGTTGTCGTGTGAGAGTTTTGTGCGTTTTGATACAGAAATAACACAATCCGATCTAAAATGAATAAAATCGTCACACGTACATATACAACGTGTATACTTGTTTTAAAAATCTGGTATACCTATAAACGAGCACATTTGCTAAATTTCTGAGTATTTAATTATCCCGTGTATACTGCCCTTGTACGTTGTTGTCAATCATGTTGTACACGAGAAAGTAGTCGTTTTGAAATGATTTATCATATGAATGAATAGTTTTATTCACAATGAATTTTCATGTTGAGATTATAATAGCTGCATTTTAGTTCAAAAAGTAAGATCAAATCAATCGACAAAAGCTTTCTCACTTTTTCAAAAGCCTGAATGTTTTCAAAAATCTAATGAAAAGTCTTCTCCTATATTATCATAATTTAATTTGCATCAGAACCTTAACAATATAACCATCATTAAATGCGTATCTCATGCATGTGAACAATATCGTCATTTCAACCGATCATTCTATTAATAACATTAATCCGTATAAATGATTTCATTTGCAATTTTGTTTTATGATTGCCGTAGTAAATTGTCAGCCATTTTGAAATGATGTGGTCTGCTTTACGTCTTAATACCATTTCATTTTTCATCGAAGTAGAAGTTTCCACCACCAAATCTTAACAAAGTGCATGCTGATATAGCTAATGCTTACATTTTAGTTAAAAAAGAAGACCAAATTTGTTTAAAAATATAGCGAGCACCCACAGTTCCAATTTTACATGAAAATTCATTTAACTTGCTGTGCGAATCAAGACAGTTCCAATACTGACACGTTGTCGTGTGAGAGTTTTGTGCGTTTTGATACAGAAATAACACAAACCGATCTAAAATTATTAAAGTCGCCTCACATAATGTGTATACTTGTTTTAAAAATTTGCTATACCTATAGGGCAGCACATTTGCTAAATTTCTGAGTATTTAAGTATTCTGTGTATACTGCCCTTGTACGTTGTTGTCAATCATGTTGTATCCGAGAAAGTGGTCGTTTTGAAAAGATTTATCATATGAATGAATAGTTTTATTCACAATTAATTTTCATGTTAAGATTATAATATATAGCTGCATTTTAGGTCAAAAAGTAATATCATGTCAAATCAATCGACAAAAGCTCTCTTACTTTCTCCAAAGCCTGAATGTTTTCTAAAATCTCATGAAAAGTTTCCTCTTATCATAACTTAATTTGCATCAGAACCTTAACAATATAACCATCATTAAACAATCATTTCTAAATAAGTGCCTTTTAATGACTTTTAATACCTTAGCTATATCTTACTATTATAATGTTTATATTATGTAAATAATTTATCTGAAATATAATGTCAATAATTTAGCTAAGCCTTATGCAATGTAAAGTCCCACGTTTGTTGTAATGCAACATTCTAATTTTAATAAAGACTTATATATACATACATCAAAAGAGGCCCAGGGACTATACTAAGAAGGCAATATCAAGAAATATATATCTCACTAGGCGATTTGAATCATACTTATATGAAATTTTTTTTCAGATTTTTATTGAAATCATGACCATAATGTGGCGTGAACTTATACATAAGAAGACAGGAGAACTATCTCTAAAAAACTAAACGATCGGTGCAGTTTCGTTTTTATTGCCAAAATCGTAGTCGACGGGATCCTCACCACAAGCAGAGCGGAAGAAATTTAACTCGTTGATTATGCCTTCGTTAAAAATTATCTGGGAAGCATCTTTGTCTCCTTCACTGAAAAACTTGTTAGCGAATGTCTGGGCACCGGAATAACCATTATCTAGATTATCATCAACCCATGATCGGTAAACATTCTTCTCCGGGACTTGAGGATCAATTTGCGCAGCAACCCAGGGCCATAACATTTCACAGGGTAGGATACCGATAGCGAGGTTCTTGGGTTGGGTTTGGGCAAGTTTCATTTGATAGGCTACGTATGTTCCGACTGCTGGGCCCATTAAGATGCTCGACGCGCTAAAAAGCTTCCATTTAGAAACGAAATAACTGGCATAACTTGTAAAGCACTCGGATCTTCCATGATAAAACAGCGCGAAATCGGGAGGGTATTCGCCTCGCATATTTTCAGCGGCGGTGTCAAAAGCCTTCACTGCGTCAAATACGAAAGCTGCGTCCTGCACCATGTATCCGCCATACTGCTCCGGTTCCAGAGTATTTTGAATAATACCCTGGAAGAACTTTGTTTCAAGCACAGCATTGCGTACGTTAACGCTAAAGGGATCTTCAAATAAGGATTGTGCGAATGTCAATCCAGTGTTAGAATCTTTTAAGCGATGTCCTTGAATAGCTAGCAAAGAAAGTGGCAATATTCACTTAATCATTATTTCAGGTAATTTTAGTGACATCATGCAGGTTTTGGTGTCTTAAGACTAATTTCTCTATTGAAACATATTGGTATGTAAGTTTAAAAAGGGGGCACAAATTCGCATTTCCCATGGGACGTTGTCTTCGGGGACTCATCCATAAAACATTCGCGCCGATGGAAGTCCACTCGGCCCTCACCTTTTTTATTCAAGAATTCATTTTGAAAACATTGCGGTGCGTAACAAAAAATGTTGGTCAGTGACACAACCATTGTCAGGAGTAGAATTGCCTGTGATGACGTCATCGTAATCAACTAAAATGTTTAAAATTCAAATTTAAATTTTAAGATATGTTGCATATATTCTCAAATAATTCTCGCATCCTGTAGTGCGGATGTTTAGTTTCCGGTCACCTCTTAGAGAATATATTGTAAAGTTACATTGAGTTTCTCGTGACGAAAGGAAATATGATGCCATAGATAATAAGGCATGGATGATAAGACTCGTTCACCTCTTATGAACTCGTCTATTGTGGAGTTTTCTCAACTGCTCTCGGTTACGTTTTACAAATATATAAATTCAGCAATAACCATTCAGCTGTGGTGATATTTCCTTTTCTTTAGCTAGATGGTATAATTAGTCTGAAGTACAAGTAGTCTATTGATTGTTCACTGATGTTTTTGTAAGGCATTTTTATTCTTTAGCTAACAATCTGTCTTTGGCAAATCACTTTTCAGTCAAAGCTAATTAAATTTTCGAGCTTGGTAATATACAAAACTTTAAACACTAGATATGTAACATAATTATGTGCATGCGTAACTACAGATTTGTATCAAGGCTGTTGTGTCGACAGATTCAAGTCGGTTCAAAAAGATTCTCAAAATATGTATATCGCTGTATAAGGAAGCTATAAAGACATGACGTGTTCATTCTTAATTAAACGGCTCAGCTTGATGTGCTTATGCAATTCAAACGATAGGTAATGAGATGATACACCTCATTAAGCCTCATCATCGTCTCATTATCCATTGTTTCAATTGCATTCGACGCGACCAAAATGCGATGTTTAACCTACTGTAGGCATAACATTCCAATAATGAAACTAAACACTGAATGCTACCTATAATATTACCATCGGCCGTCGTTCAAATATATTATCTCTTAGTTGATTCAAGGCTTTCGATTTTGCGATGTTCAAAAACGTTTGGTACTTGACAGTAGCATTTCAATGCTGCACAGGAATCATGTTTTAAAAATAGTTACATCGCATTCCTCCTTGCGTCTTATGATTATTCGAGCGTGCATTCATTATTCAAGCGTTTTAAAACAGGAGTTATTTGCCGTAGCGAATAATAAGTTTATTGCTTGCGTGTATTATTCTTAGTCTATTTGTAGTTTGTAGATAACGTTATAGCTATATATGGTAGCGCACGCGTAGAGCAATGGAGGGAAACTCTTTTGTAAACTGGCCTATCTATAGATTTGAGTACAGGGAAACTTTGTTACGTTTGGGAAAACGTGCTCTCCTGATTTATTCCTAGCGGAATGAGAAAGTTCAAGGCTATTCGCACTTTGCTACAGTTAAGTAATATTCCCCTCACGTGCATGGAGCATGTTTCACGTGCACAGTCAGCATACCTATATAAAGAGATCCGAAAGGTTCAAGGTCATTCTATATTTGTTTTCGTCGAAGCAAATTCGGAAGTTTTCACCCGACCCTCCCTCCCTTTCTCTAGGTTGTGAGCTACGATAATTTCTATGTAATTATGATGGTGTGGGCGTTTTTTATTACCCCACCTTTTCTGTACTGTACTAAAATACGAACATTGTAACAATTAGCTATAATTTGTTACTTTTGGTTGAATTAAATCGGCATGTGCTCCGGCACATTGCCATTATTTTATCCAAAAAGTGTCATTGTTTATTGCAGTTGCATGCCTTTAATTTGCCCAGAAAACAGAGCTCACCAGTCTCGGAAACCGCCGGCACTTCCTATAGGGTTCGTAGTTGAAACGGAAGCGATAAAAACATTCTTTTAGAAGGCTTTCAACGATTTTCATTTTCATATTCCATATTTTTTTCAAATCGTCAGGTGTGATTCCATATTATATCTGCTGCACTCAGCCCGTTTTCTTGGAAATAATTCGGAAAGGATTAAACTTTTCTTTTAATGGACTGTATATAGCGGTGCATGTATGAATTTGAGGGACAAGTTATTTCAGTGATCTCACTCGTACTAAATTCGTGTTTAAATTAAATCTGTACATGTATAAAATAGTGGGTTAAAATCTTGCTTGTTAAGCCAGACAAACTGGATGATGCTGCACGTGGCGCGTGGCATTTTCTGAAAACACCTGGACAAGCCAAGACGTCTTCAGCTAAATTTTTATTAGAACGCGTGCTTTCTTTATGTAAACAGAGTTCAACGTATTAAAACGTCTTAACTCGAAAAACATGGGCGTGTAACGGGAGATCATCTAAACACGCTTGCTTGGTGCTGTGTAAATGTGTACCGTGTAGATGCTGTTCGCTGTACTAAGAAACTGTTCGCTGTACAAAGCGGTTCCCTTCATTTGACAAATTGCTTCGTGCGCAGTGAGCTTTTAGGAAAAAAGGCGTGTTTTTTAAAGTAATGAATTAACATTGACCTCACCTGGCTTGCCCCTGAAAAAGCCAAGTGCAGTTTGTGGGCATTAATGTTCGGTGTGGAAAATGTTAGAACTGCGCATTAAAAGTGTTTATATTGGAATTAATCAATGGAATTAATCATTGGAATTAATCATTTTTTGCATATTAGGTTCGCCCAATATGCAGACCAGGAAATAACCAGCGACATGTCTTTTATGGACACAAACGTACACATGCTTTGAAGTACCAGTCATGTTTGGTTCCTAGTGGTTTCATAGTATAAATATGGTAGGACCTATGGGTTAGTATGTTCAGTTAACTATAGAAACCATTGGAATGTACACTGGCGGTCAAAAAGAACTGCTCAAATGTTGCTATTATCGTATGTAACAGGAATCGTGACAATCAATCTTTTATTGTACACTAGCGGTCAAAAAGAACTGTTTAGATACAAATTCATACAGAAGAAGCGAATATAGGAGAGAGCTTCAAAGGATTTTTGGACAATTCTCTTATTCCAAACAATATTTCAATAATGTAATGCAACCTGCCACACTTCCAAGATATAGTCAAACAATGGTTGCAGGAAGAGGGAGTGACAGGAATGGATTGGCCTGCACAATCAAAAGGTCTTAACCCTATTGAACATCTGTGGGACAATGTGAAAGCGATAGTGCAAGAAAGGAATTAATTCATAAAGCGTCCCCTGATTTATGCGTAGCTGTAAAGACTGTCCATAGGATGAATTTCTTTTGACCGTTAAGATTACCACCTTAACAGAAAGCATTCCACGCCGGTGTAAGACCATCATCAATTATAAGGCCGAAGGAGGGTCAACAAAATATTAATATTTCATATAGCTTAGCATGTAATCTAGTCTATATTTACTCTTATATATTGTTAGAGGGACAGTTACGTTCATTTGAGAGCATTTTAACTTGTTTTGAGCAGTTCTTTTTGACCGCCAGTGTATAAGCATCTCATTTCAACTAATTAACATATTCACTACTCTACATTTGCCTTTTTATAGAGGAAAAAGACATGATGCAAGAATATTTGTTGAATCAGGACTTTACCAATAGTTGCAAGCATACTCTTTTGATGCCACTAGCAAGCCGTTATGTATGTGTGGAGATGCATACCCTGTCACACAGCATGTGCAAGGATCTTTTAAAGGGGCACACTTGACCATGGAACAACAAGCTTTAAACATATCCACGAGCAAAGTGCAAATTGCTGTGGAGTGGCACTTTGGTAGGATTAACTTGATTAACTGACACAAAGGATTAACTGTGTATGAACAACAAATTAACAATGTAATTTTAATTATGCTTGTGTTAAAACAATGTAACAAGCATTTGCAAAATATTTACTTTTTTGAACCACTACCATTTTGAATCTCTCAAAACTCATAAAAAATGTAGCTGTATCTGTGAGTTTTGGACTTGCATCTGTGTTGGCATTTTCTGCTGTTGTTCATAAAAACCTTGTTTTTGATTCTCAACCTGAATCCGCATGAATTATTTTTGCGATTCACTCGCTTTTCTCTCTGTTGTACAAGAAGCATAGATTCCTGCTGTTGCTGCTGGTCCACAACATGATTAAACATTTTGTGTCTTTCGTTTTCTACTTCAATACGCTTGTCCTCCAAAGCTATTCGCTTTACTTCCAATTCATTTTCAGCTTTCCTTCCTTCTTCTATGATCTCTTTGAGTACCGTGCTCTCTCTCTTCATCTGTTTGGGATGTTCTTTCATTCTTTCCATTGCCTGTGTCCTTATATCTGTGATTATAAGTTTTTCTTCATTTTCTATCTTTTGCTTTTCGTTAGCTTGTGTTGCCAGCTCTGCAGTTGCATCAGTAGATTTTTCAAAGGTATCATACAAAAGTTGATCAAGCTCATCATACTCAGCATCAATTCCTGAAGCAGCCAATTCCTGTTTATCCTTCTTCACAAACTCATCCATTAATTTTTCATGCTGTGTGCGCACACTTCGCTGTCTCACATTAAAAAACCCAGAATGAGGCATTTGATTTAAGGTATTGGCAATTTTGCTCGACACATCACCCCTTTCTTTTAATCCTTTCTTGCAACGGTAAGGTTCATGAGCGAAGACTTCTTTCAAAAGCAGAATGCTGTGATCACGTTTCCATCGAAAAGGTTTTTTGATTGGTGTTGTTCCAGATGCTAGAAAAACCATCATCAGTTACTATCATATAAGCATAGAAATGTTCAAAGGATTATTCAACCAACATAATAACAATTCAACAAATAAACTTCCTATATGAAACTTTCTATGGCAAATCCTGCGTCACAATGACATTTCAAAGCCTTTTTATTTAGTTGTTTTAATGACTTAAATATATATTGTATATCGTATATATCATATACATACAATTTTGTTAAAAGGAATAAATAGATTTTTTCATAATTCTGTAAGAAAACATACCATCTACTGAGTTACTTCAATATCTACTGTGCCCGGGGCTGTGCCTGTGTTTGCATTTGAACTAAATATTAAGCATTAAACGAATATCAAGGTTGTAAAAACATTGTATATCAAACCTTTAAAGGCGCGAGTACTGACTACTTTAGATACTGCGTACAATACTTGTTTACTAGCGGCTGTATTCACTTCAAAAACTTTAATCACAATCCCTAAGTCTAACCAAAAAAAGCAGAAACATTATACAATTAAAAACTAAATAATATTTTTAGAAAACTACAGCAGAAAATGACAATAATACAGTAAATATAATTCAGTACTTCGCCTACCTATCCACTTCCATTTTCAGCCCAAAAACGGCACTCGCAACTTACAGTGTTATCACATTTTGGACGATTGTTACATCTGCGTATGCGCATGACTGAGTATTGGTATCGGTACTCGTAGCGGAAGTCGATCTTAACCTCATATGCCCGACTCAATCGAGACATGTGGAAATCACATCATCGCGGTAAATACTTATCGGCATTGCCAAAAGTTGAAGTCGAGGCTTATGGAGCGTGCATGGTTAGAAGATGAACGATAAAGACATAAAAAACTGTTCTTTTAAGAGCCATCAAATCTATAAAAGAATGTTAATGAAATATCGAGATAAACATATAAAATCACCCAATCATAGCAAACAACAACATTTACAACCCCTCGCACCGATTCGCCCAAAGTCCTTTCACATACACGATATTATTATATGTGTATAGAGATTTATGCACAGCAGAATGATGAAATAAAAATCATATTTCACTGTGCCAATAAATTTCATGCAATTTGATTGGACGTACGATGTTTTTCACGTGTGAAAAAATGCCATACACGGCTTTTGATGGGACGTACGACATTCTTCACACGTGAAAAATTGTCGTATGTCATTTTGGCGGCAATTTGTTTACATTTTCTTTCAAGATGGTGTCGAAATATAGGAGTGAGATTCAAAACATAATTCTCATATTCAAGATATTTTTACATTCAGCACATTCTCAAATCTTTCGGAAAGAATGTCTAACTTCTATTGAACAAAATTACAAAGAAACTGAACGGTAATAAATATGTTTTCATGCATAAAGTTTCGATTTTGTTGCTCGCTGTGTTTTTGTATATTAAAAGCGTGTCGTTATCAAATTGATCTCTATACACATTTAATAAACAAATTACTTCATGGTTGGCTCGTTTGTACGATTTTTATTATGCACTCGTTGCGAAGGATCGCAAACTCACTCGTTCGCTGCGCTCACTCGTTCGTATTGCGATCCTTCACAAAATAGCCATTTATCCCTTCGCTTAGCTCTAAAAAATTGGCTAAATCTTTAGTTGTTCGTGCATTTCCGAAAATAAGCGGTATTTTTTTGCCCAAAAGATCGCAAATATTCACAAACTGATTCAACGGTAATAGCGGATAATAGTTTCCGACGGTTCGCGAATTTTTGAGTCCTCGGAAGATATCGTAGTTACGTCACATTCTTACTATCTATCTATCTATCTATCTTACACAGACGATGACATAAAGGATTTTGCTTAATGAGCAAATCCTTAAAAAATTACAACACATTTCAGGAAGAAGAAATTGAATGAACCGTATGATATCGATGTTTAATATGTGGGCTCCAGGTGAATATAAAAATAAATGTTGAATTCGGTTTTCACCTGATTTTGAGAATTATCAAGAAATTCTAATAAATTTTCATTATCACGCTAAACCTCATACAATAATTATTGATTACTCGCCGCAAATTGAATTTCTTGAAACAAGGAGATCTTTAATGATGCCGATTACCTTTACCAATATAGCAATCTCAGGATGGTTCGGTCCTAATTGCTCGGATTGAATTTTCAGCGCCCGTTGATAATAATCATAAGCTTGATCAAAAGCACCTTTTTGGCTACACGCATATCCTAGGATGGTGTATGACTTGGCCACGTCAGTATTGCTCGGTCCTAATAGCTCTAATTGGATTTTCAGCGCCCGTTCACAATACACTTGAGCCTGATCACAATCACCTTTTCCGATACACACGTTACTCAAGAGGTTGTATGAAATGGCAACGTCAGTATGATTCGGTCCTAATTGTTCCAATTGAATTTTTAGCGCCCGTTGACAATATTCATTTGCCTGATCAAGATCACCTTTTTCGAGATATACATTGCCCAGGTTGTTGTATGAAGTGGCAACGTCAGTATGACTCGGTCCAAATTGTTCCAATTGAATTTTTAGCGCCCGTTGACAATATTCATTAGCCTGATCAAGATCACCTTTTCTGCTACACACATTACTCAGGTTGTTGTATAAAATCGCAACGTTACTATGATACGGTCCTATATGTTCCAATAGAATTTTTAGTGCTCGTTGAAAATATTCATTAGCTTGATCAAGATCACCTTTTCTGCTACACACATCACCTAGGTTGTGGTATGCAGTAGCCACGTCAGCATGGTTCGGTCCTAATTGCTTTAATTGCATTTTCATCGCCTGTTGAAAATATGCATTAGCCTGATCAAGATCACCTTTTCGGGTACACACACGACCAAGGTTGTTGTACGAAGCAGCAACGTCAGTATGATTTGGTCCTAATTGATCAAATCGAATTTTCAGTGCCCTTTGAAAATAATCATTAGCCTGATCAAGATCATCTTTTTTGAAATACACATTGCCCAGGTTGTTGTATGAAGCAGCAACATCAGTATGGTCTGGTCCTAAATGCTCTATTTGAATTTTCAGCGCTCTTTGATAATAATCATCAGCATGGTCCAAGTCACCCTGATCATCACACAACACACCCAGGCTATTGTATGAAGCAGCAACATCTGTATGCTTTGGTCCTAATTGCTTTATTCGAATTCCCAACGCTCGTTGATGATACTCATTAGCATGAAGGAAATCGCCCTTAACATTGCACAACACTCCCAGGTTGTAGTATGAAGTAGCCACTTCAACATGGTTTGGTCCTAATTGATGTAATCGAATTTTCAACGCCCGTTGATAATAATCATTAGCCTGATCAAGATCACCTTTTTCTTTACACACATTAGCCAGGCTGTTGTATGAACCAGCAACTTCAGTGTGGTTCGGCCCCAACTGTTCTAATTCAATTTTCAGCCCCCGTTGACAATAATCATTAGCATGATCTAAATCACCTTTATCAGTACACAACACACCAAGGGCGGCGTATGACTTGGCGACTTCAGCATGATTCGGTCCCAATTGCTCTAATCGAATTTTCAGTGCGCGTTGATAATATACATTAGCCTTATCAAAATCACCTTTATCGCTACACAACACACCAATGTTACTGTATAAAGTTGCTACGTCTGTGTGATTCGGACCAAGGTGATTTAATTGAATTTTTAGTGCCAGTTGAAGAAATTCCATCGACAGTTCATACTGACAAAAGCGATAAAGTGTGCTCCCCAACGATATATACATTTGAGAAATGTCAGCTTTTTCAAAACGTAAGCTTAATAAGTATAATGCTTGATCGGGAAAATGAATGTTGTCAATAATTTCTTTGTGAAATGCTTTCAAATGCGGAATAGATTTGATTTTATCTTCTCTTTCACTAAAGTAACTCATTATTTTGACAACCCTGTAAATGTGAGTTAAATTTTCTTCCTCGCTTGTACTTTTGTTTTCCGTATTATCTTTTTTAGACTCATCAAAAAGACAAAATGTTTTGACGGCTTCATGAACAACACGATGTAGGCGGACATCACCATTGCTACCATCCTGAACAAACAGCGAGGAGAGTTTTATTGCAGTAATGACATCCTCCGCATCTACCTCCTGTTGCTCCTGAATATATTTTACAACAAGATCAAGTGGTAATGGTTCAAAAGATAACAAAGAGAAAAGGTTGAAAGCGTGTTCCAGGATTGTGTTATTTTCTGCACATTTTCTAACCGCTAGCAACACTGCCGTGCTCATTGTGGAGGAATATGCCGCTGAATTCATTTGCCGAAGACGTTCCTCCGTTAACCCCCTTTTACCCTTCTCAAGTTTTCGTAAATAATCTCGCCAAGAAAAATCTGGACAACTATTGGTTACTTCTCTCATATACACGGCTGCCGCGGCCATTGCCAGTGGTTGACGATCCAACTTCTCCGCCATCTCATCTAGTAATGGGCCATTGACTTCGGTACACGATAATAGAACAAGCAGCTGGCGACACTCTTGGTCATTCATTCCATGAATAAGTGATATATGCTTAGTTGAGGTGCTGTCTTGTGGAACAGCATTTGTGTTTTGTGTTGTTAATATAACTTGGCCGTCCTTCCAAACTTCGTCTCCCTTCAAAGGCAGTAGTGGGGATATGAGTTCTAGATTTTCCACATTGTCAACGATGATCCACCACTTTTTCCAATTTTTTATTCTGCAAGATATTTGCGATCTTAAATCTTTTATTTTTTCTTCTTTAGGTTTAGATGAACTTGAAACACTTTGCAATGCGCTCTCGTTACAATTCAGCCGACGACAAAAATCTTTATATGAATGAAGAAGAGAATCTAAATCTTTTCCGTTCAATGTCATTACAAACATTGCTTCGTCTTTCCCATGAACATCTTTGCAAATATCTTCACAAACTTGTCTGGCGAGTTGAGATTTTCCACTGCCTGGATTCCCAGAGATGTACAAATATGTAAGTTTGCCATCGTTATGACTGCGCAACTTTTCAAGGTCTTCTCTTATCTCGTGTATCTTGTCAGAACGGTAAACGACTTCATGGGCTGGTTCAGGGGGAAGAATTGTAAATGACGCAAACAGGTTTTTTATTCGAACGACTTCGTTGATTGACAGTCCCAATGCACCCAATGCATTCTCAACTTTTGTTGTCATGGTTTGAAAGTCTTTATTAGTTAGCGTTTTGTCAGGTATATTATGAGTTATTTCATTTCGCAGTTTTCGAAGAATGTCGATTTCAGTCTTTTCTGTTGTACTAAGACTACAACCGATTGAGTTGGAATAAAGAATTGCATCAAAAAGTACGGTACAATCCCATTCATTTGTATTTCCATTTTGAAATTTGGACTGAAGCATGGTCTTATTTGGTCTTGTTCGTTTTTTCTCCAGATTAAACAACTGACTACCACTGACGTTGGTGTCATCCCATGCTCCAAGAGAAGCCTGGTAACGTTTGTTCCATTCATGAATAAATAAATTCCTCAACTCCTTTCTTACAGCATCAGTGAGAATATATTCCGCTCGAATGTAGTTTTGACTTTCCTCGCTTTCCCACGGTAGACCAGACATTGCTGATCCTAGAAATTAATTTAAACGTTTTAAAGAGCGAATTTGAGAAGTCTTTATGAAAATGTAGCCTTGTTTAAAAAAACGCATAAAGAAACAAAAAAAAATCGAATTTCCAACTAAATAGGACTCAGGTAGTCCATTCTTCATTACTCTTTATTGAGAGAGTTTTGCCATATTTGCTATAACAATATAGATGGATTCTACTGCGAAATATTGATCGCGCAAAATCAAGTACCGAGTGAAAACTTGGAATAGACGATTCCCTTATTAAATATTCGAAGCGCTTTGCATTATAGTTATCGCGGTATCATAAATATTCAAGATGACGGCTTTGAAAGAAATTAATCAAAATATTGTCAATATTCACATCTAGTTGTGTAGCGTTAACTTGAGTTTAATAAACCAGACTTATTTTTCGACGACAGTTACCTTATCGTTATCGATATAAATATGGTTTTGTTCATACTGCTGTCCAATAATGTCGTGCTCTGACTGGGAGACCTTTCCCGAACCGGGCCAGGTGTGTGGTGGCTAACTCCGGCCTGCCCTTCGTGCTGGCATTATCTTCTCTGTCTTTTTATCCCTCAGACGTTCCTGACTATCATCATCATATATACTTGTCATCAGCATGATGAGCTGACCGCAGTATGTAAGGGACTCCAAATACCAAGCATAAACTTAGAAGTTCTTGGATGCCTTAGAGCAGATAATCTTTTCTATATGCCTGACTTATTTGAGACATGTGGGAATCACATCATCGAGGTAATTGCTCATCGGCATTGCGCAAAAGTTGAAGTCGAGGCATATGGAGCGTGCATTGTTAGAAGATGAACGATAAAAACAAAAAACGGCTCTTTTAAGAGCCATCAAATCCATAAAAGATGTGAATGAAATATCGAGATAAACATATAAAATCACCTAATCATAGCAAACAACACTACATTTACAATCGCTAACACCGATTCGCCCAAAGTACCTTTTACAAACACGATATTATGAAATGTGAAACTAACGTGTACATTTGGTGTGACGTCATTGTACGCTAATATACACCACACATGTTCACGTGAAACTATTGTGTATTCCCACATGATGTTCGCGTGGCAACCTACTGTGACGTCAATGGCGGCATCCCTTTCATCCGTATATGGGGGGGGGAATAATCTACCGCCAAAGCCACATTCAAAACAGCTAATCTTGTATTTTAATCATTTGGATTACCTTTCGATGCAATTACATACTATATATACATAATTCAAAATTCCTGTTCCGTAGATTAGCATATTCCTGCAGTAAAGCTAATTTGCATAATAACGGTGCTTATGCGAAATATCAATTTCGTAAAAAGGGCCGAAAGAGTCAATTAATTAATCCGTAGCCTTTTCCCTGTAGGAACACTGGGGCTGATTGCACGAAGGCTGGATAGCGCTACCCACAGAATTGTGATTTTTTCAACCGTTCTAAAAATGCTTGAAAAGCAATAAAATTTCATCTTTGGGACGAAAAATTATTAAAGAGAATCCTCAATTTAAGAATGCTAACATTTTATCAAAGTTATATGCAACAACAGGAGATTTTAAAAGCATGTGAAAAAGCCACTATCCGGTGGATAGTGTTATCCAACTTTCGTACAACCAGGTCATATATAATGTTTTGTTGTTGTTTTTTTGGGCACATGATTGTGTCTGTTTTGTTACAACGTATGAACCTTTTAATAAATGTTTGGAAGGGGTTTTAAACAATATTTGAATTTCGAACGTTTGAATGATGGAAATTAGTCATATGGTGTTTTTGAATATCGTGCTGATTATCGTGTTCAATGTCGTGTTGAATGCGGTGCGCACTTAACAGTGGTATGTGACTCGAAACCAAAATAATCAACACAATATATATCAAATATGAACCTCGATTTTATTTCATGTTCTACCAGGATGGAATTGTTCTATTACCCAATGTGTTCCTTGCAAATGGTCTCAAGATATCATTTTGATGTTTGAATGATTATATATAATCATTATATAGATAACTTAGAAATACCCAGACTCACTCTGCTGTTTTGTCTGATAATTTCAAAATGAAACGAATATCGCACACGGATTTCCCCTTTGTTATTTGTAGAAGTTTTGGTAGGCTGCCGGTTATACTATACAGAAAATGTCGAGTATGATTTCAAGTGTGATTTTACGTTTGATGCCTTCACATTTTGAGGCCGTGTATGCGATAGCTGTCTCTAAATTCTAATCAAATGGTCGACAAACACTATCGCACTATGCTTAACACAACTCCCTCAATTTTGATAAATTTATGGACAGTTTTCCGCCAGGAGGGAGAGAACTCGGATTATAGAAATTATTTCCCATCGCTTAAGTCGTAAAATATATGTATATATATACGATCACTAGGTAAAAGTAAAACGGCAAATTTAGCACAATGAAATTTAACAATTTCATGACCAAAACAATGAACACAATATATCAAATACGAACCTCGAGTCTATTTCATCATAGAAACGATGGAATTGTTCTGTTACCCAAAGTATTTCTATCAACGACACAGTTTTGAATGATTACTCAGAAATCAAGAGCCGATGAGCCAGTCTTCACCGTCTAGTCATTTCAAGACGAAATTAATTCGCATAAGGATTTATCCTTTGATATTTGATATCCTATTTTCAAGTATATTGTAACATTTTAGTGATTTTACGTCAGATTAAACAATCATCATCATCATCTAGGGCCTAGGCCTATTGCGCCAATGAGGCGCACAGGGCCAGTGGAGATTAAACAATGACAGCGTAATATCCTGCAGGATGCTGGATTTCTAAATCGTTATATCGTTTTAGTTCTAGCTTTGGTTCTAGTCATTCAGATAATCGATTTATTGATGTCTTACCATAAGAATTGAAGCCGAATGCACCTCGGTAATTTTATTATTGCATTATTGCAATAGTCTTAAAGGGGGGGGGGGGTGTTCAACGGGTAAATTAAGCTAGCGCACAACGTTATCTCAACGTTATCTAAAGGTTTTATTTAGGTTAAGTCATGACTGGACTTTATTTAAAGATCATAGGTTTCATTATGAGCAACGACCTGAAGTGGAATTGCCACGTAGAATACATTGTTAAAAAAGCTAGTAAGAAGTTGTATTCTTTAAGAATTTGCGAAGAGCTGGGGTCTGATGAGGCAGTCTTGTATGAAAGCATAATTTTTAATAAGTCTGTCTATGAGAAGGATATTAAAAACAATAATAAGCGTAAAAGAACACAACTGCCCAATGGAGTGTATAACCCACCCCAGATTTTGCTAAAGTAATGCGACGAACTGAAATCAAGAAATTAGCAAGCAGTTTGAAATCTGTTCGGGTGAAAGCTATTTAGGACGGTTGCTAGAGTCAAATGATTGTAAGCCGTATGCATTTGAGGTTGCCCACCAGAATCTTCAATACTAAAAGAGACACACTGAATCCTTCACCATGAATCTTAATGACACTGCTATCCGTGATGAAGTTTTAGATCATTTACAGTCCATTTCAATTTAATCATTTAATACTTGCAGTGATGCAGTAAAGGAATTAAAAAATGTTGTAAATATTACACACTCAGAAGTACTCCAAATTGGATCAATCTTTTACAGTGGGAAATGGTTTGAGGAGCGCAATAAGAGACTCACATCATTAAATTTAGGTGCAGTAGTTAAGAGAAGAAAACAATTTTCCCAACCCCGATGCTTAACAAAATTTAAAACCCGTTCAAACAGGCTAAACGTCCTGAACCCTGCCAATGGGGAAAATATAAGGAAGAAAAGGCTATTACAGAATACTTGGCATTGGTGAAGTTAAGTGACAAGTGTCCTTTGTCAAAAAAGGATGCTTGCATAGAGGAAGCATGCAAAGACAAGAACTTTTTCTTGGGCATAAGTAATGGAAAAGTCCAAATGAAAAAGACACACAACTATTTCTATCAAATCCAAGGCAGCATGGCAACACAAGCATGTAAGTTGGTGCAACTTTGTCGTTTTTACCAATAATGATTTACATGTTGAAAGAATTCGTTTTGACAATGTTTTTATTCTCAATATTTTTTATAAGAATTTTGATTGATAGATCCTGAGCAGTTCATACAGATATACAATATTGTACAAACTCTTTTTAGAGTAACTTATGTTAACACAAAGCACAAGAAAGTAAATTACTTGAACTTGCAATATTAGAAGTCAAGGCTCAACTTTAACCGTCTAAGATTGTTTTTCTTTAACGGTCGGGGGCAAAACAATGTTAAATAGGAGCAAACACCCCACATTTGGTCAAGGTTATCAGCCAGTGTCAATGGTATTACTTGGTGTAATATTCTATAGTTTTTTATCCATGCAATTGCTCGCTCAACATGCACCCTAACAGATGCAATTTTTCTAGTCGTGGCTTCATCTTCCGCTGAAAGTTGAGGTTGTCCTAGGAATGGTGGGATATTTAGGAGTACCGCATTTGGCATGTCAGAGTCAATATCAAAACCTCTGTCTGCAATAAGTTCATCTCCTGGCTCTAGTAAATTTGGAATCCCACAGTCCCCAGTGATTTTTTTGTCGCTAGTTCTACCTGCGTATAAGCTGGAAACAAAACTTGGATACCCATTTGGTGAAATTCCAATCAAACCCTTGGCAATGTTATAATTCTTATAGCTGGAAAATGTGATAGACTGGCTTGTGTTAAGACTTTCTTTTAAAATCTTAAAGCATGAAGGCATGAAATCTTGAATGAATTTACGACGGGGCAAAATTGGGAGGGTGCAAGGGCGTTAATTGATGCATAAAGGGAATACAGGTTTTAAAAATATGAGAAACACTGCTTGTCGAGATATTAAATCTATGAGCAATATCTTGTAAAAGTAAGCCCAAACGTAACCTTGTCAGCACAAGGAATAATTCCTTTTCAGGGGACATTGATCTTTTGTTTACCACAATTTGTTTGTGATGTTGAAGTTATAGGAGCAGTGTTGGAACCATGATATACAAGGTGTTCACAGGCCGGAGAAAGGTACTCATAAAAAGGTTTAAAACTTGAATATTTTGGAAATCCAGTATAAAATCTAAAATCATTGCTACTGCCTATGAATCTTTCTAATCGGAAGGCACTTAATTGTACTTTTTTGATATCTTCTTCATGCTGTTTTTGTTGCTTCTTAATTTTTTTTTCAGCATCCTCAATCTGAACGCCTGTAGAATTAATTAATCTCGCTAGTGACTGCATCATCTCTTATTTCTTTACTAGTTTAACATGATGAACATTGTAAATAATTATCATTGTCAACTGTTACTCTGCATTGGGCCTTTTTCTTTGTTTACTTCTTGTTGCAAAAATTGTTGGAATTTGGTTAGTATATGTCTTCTTCCATGCTCGGATATTTCCTTGCATTCGATCACACAGTTGTTTTGTATGTTCGCGCATTAAAATGGTATTTGGCGCCTCGTGAAATTGACAACCTATGTCGCATTTGTGCTCGAATTTACCCTGAACTGTCTTTTCATCAGATTCCAAAGAATCCTGATATTAAAAGAAAAAGGGGGTAACACTTTTAAAAAAAAATGGTAATAGTGTAAGAGATCCCAGTTTCAGCCATACGGTGTGTTCAATGCATAATGTGGGATCATATTTTGAAAAAAAATTTCAGCCGATCGCATAATGAAAGGCCGACTCACGATCTGCTTTTGTTGCGGATATCTAAATTTCACCTAGTAAATTCTGTTCTGCAAAGTGTGTTTTCAAAGCGTGTCACTCTCGGAGTAATTTCTCAGCTGATAATAGATAGAAACTGCTCAAAATCTCTCAGAATACAGAGAACAGCGCCCTTCTTATTTTGTATAGGAAAAAGAAACTCGATTGAAGCAATAAATAGTCTAAAAACTGCCTATATTCCTCCGAAGGAAATCGCCCACTCCAGCGGCCATTTCGTTCGAAAGCAACCTACAACCTCCTACCATCATGCCTAGCGGCGCGAAATCTATAATACAAGTTGTCTATTTACTGATTTTCGTAAGGCGTTTGATTTATTCCACCACAATATAATAATCAAAGAGCTCGTTAATCTAAATATTTACTCAGTGTTCATACGTTGGATTAAATCCTTTCTTATGAATAGAGAACAGTGTCCGAGGATTAATAATCTACGTCCCTCACGCCTCATAGCATTTCTCGAGAAAAAGCTTGGGCCCATACTCTTTACCGTTTTGATAAGTGGTAAACCCGCTGATGAGAAACTGACAAAGACAAATTAGGTTTCTGGATGAGGCCCACCGCTGTTAAAATCATTGGCCATTGTCCACCTAGCGTTCTGCATAGTTGTGGATGGAATTAGTACGCATCAAACAACTAAATCCACAAGTAATAACTTAGTCATAAGCTGTTTATTGAAAAGAATTATTATTTCTATTATGATTATTTACGCCAAGACGGCTGCAATAATTTTGTACATGTTATAACTGTTGCAACCCTTCGAGATTTGAACCGACATTTTGCACACATTTTGCGAGAATTAAAGAAAGTGCTTCAAACTAAACGCAGTTCAAGGAACGTTTAAAGCATATACATGACTTTGGAAAGATATCACTTTTTTACCAGTGGCGTAGCCAGCCTGACGATTTAGTCATGCTATGCTATCATTATTGATTTCTTCCGAAATTCATTGTTTTCACAGTCAATGAACACCAAAATATTAGCATAGCATGACTAAATTGTCAGGCTAGCTACGCTACTGTTTTTAACTAAATTTTATTTTAGGCATTTTTAAATATTTCTCATCAATTTGCGAAAATATCTGATAGAATCTGATATGTGGAATATACTTGGTTATCCATATTTTTAATTTTAAAAGCCTTATAATTGTGTTGCAATATAATTTCACACCTAGAAGAAATTGAATGAACCGTATGAAATCGATGTTTAACATCTGGGCTCCAGGTGAATATAAAAATAAATATTGAATTTGGTTTTCACCTGATTTTGAGAATTATCAAGAAATGCTAATAAATTTTTATTATCACGCTAAACGTAATACATCAATTATTGATTACTCGCCGCAAATTGAATTTCTTAAAACAAGGAGATCTTAAATGATGCGGATTAACTTTACCAATATAGCTTTTCTTCTACACACATTGCCCAGGCTGTTGTATGAAGTGGCAACGTCAGTATGATTCGGTCCTAATTGTTCCAATTGGATTTTTAGCGCCCGTTGATAATATTCATTAGCCTGATCAAGATCACCTTTTCTGCTACACACATTGCCTAGGCTGTTGTATGAAGTGGCAACGTCAGTATGATTCGGTCCTAATTGTTCCAATTGAATTTTTAGCGCCCGTTGACAATATTCATTAGCCTGATCAAGATCACCTTTTCTGCTACACACATTACTCAGGTTGTTGTATAAACTCGCAACGTCAGTATGATTCGGTCCTAATTGTTCCAAATGAATTTTTAGCGCCCGTTGATAATATTCACTAGCCTGATCAAGATCAGCTTTTCTGCTACACACATTGCCCAGGCTGTTGTATGAAGTGGCAACGTCAGTATGATTCGGTCCTATATGTTCCAATTGAATATTTAGCGCCCGTTGATAATATTCATTAGCCTGATCAAGATCAGCTTTTCTTCTACACACATTGCCCAGGCTGTTGTATGAAGTGGCAACGTCAGTATGATTCGGTCCTAATTGTTCCAATTGGATTTTTAGCGCCCGTTGATAATATTCATTAGCCTGATCATGATCACCTTTTCTGCTACACACATTGCCCAGGCTGTTGTATAAACTCGCAACGTTAGTATGATTCGGTCCTAATTGTTCCAATTGGATTTTTAGCGCCCGTTGATAATATTCATTAGCCTGATCAAAATCACCTTTTCTGCTACACACATTGCCTAGGCTGTTGTATGAAGTGGCAACGTCAGTATGATTCGGTCCTAATTGTTCCAATTTAATTTTTAGCGCCCGTTGACAATATTCATTAGCCTGATCAAGATCACCTTTTCTGCTACACACATTACTCAGGTTGTTGTATGAAGTGGCAACGTCAGTATGATTCGGTCCTAATTGTTCCAATTGAATTTTTAGCGCCCGTTGACAATATTCATTAGCCTGATCAAGATCACCTTTTCTGCTACACACATTACTCAGGTTGTTGTATAAACTCGCAACGTTAGTATGATTCGGTCCTAATTGTTCCAATTGTATTTTTAGCGCTCGTTGACAATATTCATTAGCCTGATCAAGATCACCTTTTCTGCTACACACATTACTCAGGTTGTTGTATAAACTCGCAACGTTAGTATGATTCGGTCCTAATTGTTCCAATTGAATTTTTAGCGCCCGTTGATAATATTCATTAGCCTGATCAAGATCACCTTTTCTGCTACACACATTGCCCAGGCTGTTGTAACAAGTGGCAACGTCAGTATGATTCGGTCCTAATTGTTCCAATTTAATTTTTAGCGCCCGTTGACAATATTCATTAGCCTGATCAAGATCACCTTTTCTGCTACACACATTACTCAGGTTGTTGTATAAACTCGCAACGTCAGTATGATTCGGTCCTAATTGTTCCAATTGAATGTTTAGCGCCTTTTGATAATATTCATTAGCCTGATCAAGATCAGCTTTTATTCTACACATATTGCCCAGGCTGTTGTATGAAGTGGCAACGTCAGTATGATTCGGTCCTAATTGCTCTAATCGAATTTTCAGTGCGCGTTGATAATAATCATTAGCCTGATCAAGATCACCTTTAACGCTACACAACACACCCAGGTAACTGTATAAAGTTGCTACGTCTGTGTGATTCGGACCAAGGTGATTTAATTGAATTTTTAGTGCCAGTTGAAGAAATTCCATCGACAGTTCATACTGACAAAAGCGATAAAGTGTGCTCCCCAAAGATATATACATTTGAGAAATGTCAGCTTTTTCGAAACGTAAGCTTAATAAGTATAATGCTTGATCGGGAAAATGAATGTTGTCAATAATTTCTTTGTGAAATGCTTTCAAATGCGGAATAGATTTGATTTTATCTTCTCTTTTACTAAAGTAACTCATTATTTTGACAACCCTGTAAATGTGAGTTATATTTTCTTCCTCGCTTGCACTTGTGTTTTCCGTATTATCTTTTTCAGATTTATCGAAAAGACAAAAGGTTTTGACGGCTTCATGAACAACACGATGTAGGCGGACATCACCATTGCTACCATCCTGAACAAACAGCGAGGAGAGTTTTATTGCTGTAATGACGTCCTCCGCATCTACCTCCTGTTGCTCCTGAATATATTTTACAACAAGATCAAGTGGTAATGGTTCAAAAGATATCAAAGAGAAAAGGTTGAAAGCATGTTCCAGGATTGTGTTATTTTCTGCACATTTTCTAACCGCTAACAGCACTGCCGTGCTCATTGTGGAGGAATATGCCGCGGAATTCATTTGCCGAAGACGTTTCTCCGTTAACCCCCTTTTACCCTTTTCAAGTTTTCGTAAATAATCTCGCCAAGAAAAATCTGGACAATTAATGGTTACTTCTCTCATATACACGGCTGCCGCGGCCATTGCCAGTGGTTGACGATCCAACTTCTCCGCCATCTCATCTAGTAATGGATCATTGACTTTGGTACACGATAATAGGACAAGCAGCTGGCGACACTCTTGGTCATTCATTCCATGAATAAGTGAGATATGCTTAGTTGAGGTGCTGTCTTGTGGGACAGCATTTGTGTTTTGTGTTGTTAATATAACTTGGCCGTCCTTCCAAACTTCGTCTCCCTTCAAAGGCAGTAGTGGGGATATGAGTTCTAGATTTTCCACATTGTCTACGATGATCCACCACTTTTTCCAATTTTTATTTCTGCAAGATATTTGCGATCTTAAATCTTTTATTTTCTCTTCTTTAGTTTTAGATGAACTTGAAACATTTTGTAATGCGCTCTCGTTACAATTCAGCCGACGACAAAAATCTTCATATGAATGAAGAAGAGAATCTAAATCTTTTCCGTTCAATGTCATTACAAACATTGCTTCGTCCTTGGCATGAACATCTTTGCAAATATCTTCACAAACTTGTCTGGCGAGTTGTACATTACATATGTAAGTAAACAAAATAACCACTGTCATCATTTATCACCTGAAGAGCTAAGAGAGCGAAAACGTTTGTGAATAAAGTGATATTAAAAAATACAAAGCAGTGGTTATGTTCGAATAATATCTCTCTAGTTGACAAGCAACCTTTTTCTATATATATATATATATATATATATATATATATATATATATATAATATATATATATATTATATATATATATATATATATAATCGCCCTGATCACAACCGATCGCATACGAATCCCATTTTTTTGGGAATACCAACGTGATTGCATATCATCAAGTTGGTGGGTATACTGCATAAACCTGTAGGAATATGTTTTATTAGTTTTGATGCACGATTCTTTGAGATGTGACATTCAAAATCAAACTATCCACCAACCACACAATAGGTAGCGTATGTTGAAATTCATGCTTCAGAATAATTGTCTGATAATAATTGTTTTGTCGTCTGTCTATTTTCCCTCTTATATCGAGACATTGCGCGTGTTAATGTTTCTGTTACAAGTTGATTAAATTGTTATTTGTCACTATTTTTATTGAACGCGATATCAAAGCCAGAAGGGAAATACCCCAACTTTCAATTTATCACAGAACCATGGTACTGTTCTTGCCTTCTTGTGTTTGGGCAAAAAAACAAGCAGTTGGAGTAGCAAAAGCTATTGCGAAGGTTTGAGAATCACGATACAGGATTTTAAAGACATTTTATGTCTTTTATTTCATTCGAATGCAATATCAAAAGCGGGGAATTTCCCTTTCAGTTAGTTTCCTGTTTGCATACACAAAAGCTTTTAAGGTAGCATATATAACAAAATTCGTCTCGTTTTCGTATTCAGATGAAATAGACGAATTGAGTCATTGACAATCGCTTCTCATTTTCTGATAATGTAGACCTCGCTTACGAGTTATGTGAATATCTTGGCTGGTAAAGAAACTACGTAAACTTCATCGTGAACAAAGATGAAACATTTGAAATAATATCGAGGTTTGTACTAGTATTGTGTTGATTGTTTTGGTCATGTCTCGATATGTAGACGACAGATCAAATTATTTGAAAAATATTTTGCAACTCAGATCAGTTTGTCTAAAGTTTTTACCGCCCCCATGATTTTACGTGAAGCGTTTATTTCCGTCCTTATCACGGGATTAAATTATTTTCGGTGCGTGAAATGGGGAATTCAAATATTAGCGAGAGCCGGTAATGTTTAAATCTAAGCGGCGGATTTCGTGAATTCTTTTGCGAAATAGCGTGATTACGTGATACAAGCTGCTCCAAAAATGGCTTGATCCCACAGAAAATATCTCAAAAGTGTTTTTTGGACCCTTTCTGACTTTCTATTCATGTTTGATGTTGTCATTTATTTTGTCGAATTCAATTAGGCATGCTCTCTTTTAGCCTCGGCGTGAACGTGAAATTTTCTTCCTGTTTTTACGTGACGCGTTATTTCGATTATTTTGGGGCGTTAATGCGTGAATTCGTATGGCTCTTGAGGACCCTTTCAAGGCTAAAAAGCCGGGCTAATTTTTTGTTTATTTTCAAACAAAACACAAAGTAATGCCTGGTCATATAAATAGCGTGTGTTGATAAAAAAAAAAAACTAGCGCATATTCCGCACCCTTGTTTGAAGTCGCGGAAAACACTTAGCTTGTCACATGATGGTCGAATTATGTGGGCAAGACGACGGCATCTATATTCAATACCTTCAGAATTTGTGGGACATAGTTATTTGTTTGTTGGGCAGTTTTGATTACCAGAGAGCGATATGGGAAGTGTGTACTTGAACTATATTTTAAAACCTAATTATAACTATCATATTTATGGCTTTAAATGAGCGACTAGAACTACAATCCTGGAAAAAAATTGTAGACTTTCCCCCCCCCCCCGTATACAATATTTACGCGAAATATCTCGGCAAATGACTTTATTTCACTCAAAATTGCTCCTCGGGGATTTGAGATGCACAAATGATGCCGGATAACGTTTGTTTCAAAACTTGTTATTTGTGGAATGCATGGCTTTAGTGAACATGTAAATTACATCATTGTAAGAGCAGAGTTATCACATCGTTCACTGATTGTGTGAGTGTGAGACGATTTTACTCACTTTGGATCAGTTCATCTCTATTTTTTCGAAACAAATCTTGCTATTACAATTTGTGAGTGGTAGAAACTACAAATTCGCTTGGTAAGTATTTCAAAACAACCATTATCTTGAACAGAACGCTAAAGCTTACAAAGTCAGTAGACCTCATAATCAGCATGATATAAATCTCATATTATAATCATCTTTCTTGTTTAGAATCTGAGTTAGAAAGTGTATATATCATCAAGTTGGTGAATATTCTTATTAGAATATTAGTTTTGACGCATTATTCTTTGAGACATGACACAACTCATAAAATCAAACTATTCACCACCCACGCAATAGATGGTGTATGTTGAAATTTATCAGTTTCGCTTTTATTCAATATATTTGTATACTGCATTCACTGCTCGGTTAATCGTAATTAATAAGGCGTCATTTTATTCTTTATTGTTCCCTTACTACCTGATGCATGAAATCTTTGGTGATTGGCAAAAAATATATATATCCACCTTCACGATATTTTTATACTCGCATAATGGCATTAATCTGTCATTGTCCTAAAGTAGGCAGAATGTGTATTTTAATTTTGAATATTTCACTGGCATTTCTCGGGTGTGAGGTCTGATAATCAGAGGTTTTCCATTCGAATCTCAAACACAGTCCGGCTGAGCCCAAACGAAATGTACATGTACAGATATACAAGACGCTTGTTTAAGATGCATGTTTGATGGTAACGTTTGTTTCAAAATTTGTTATTTTGTGGAACGTGGCTCGAATTTCGGTTACTGTAATTAGTTACTATAACATGATTTTCAAATGACAGTCAATTTACTAAATTTCGTTACGAGAGGAGAAGCTTTGTGTATAAATAAATATATTTGTGGATATAATAGGGCGAAATATTCGTTTCGTTTGGTTGGCGATGACAGATTTAGATTGTCAAGTAAAAACCCAACAATGTCTGCAATATTTTCGTTATTTTACATAGTTCACGAAATTGCGTAAAATGATCGCACGAAATGACGCCTGCGTGTTTTGAGATACACAAATGATGATAACATTTGTTTCAAAACTTGTTATTTGTGGAATGCATGTCTTTAGTGAACATGTAAATTACGTCATTGTAAGAGCAGAGTTGTCACAACACTCATTGAATTGTGTGAGTGTGAGACGATTTTATTCACTTTGGATCAGTTCATCTCCTCTTTGCTAAATGTAACGCATATCCATTACACTCACATAACATGAAATAAGTGAGTGGTAAAAAGTACAAATTCGCTCGGTAAGTATTTCAAAACAACCATTATCTTGCATACAACAACAAGACCAGTAGACCACGTAATCAGCATGATATAAATTTCATGTTATAATTTATCTTTCTCTTTTAGAATATGAATTAAAAAGTGAAGAATATATCATCAAGTTGGTGAGTACTTCACAAACCTATAAGAATATGTTTTATTAGTTTTCGATTCTTTGAGATATGACATTCAGAAGCAATGTATAAAATCAACTATTCGCCACCCACGCAATAGATGGCGGATGTTGAAATTCATTAGTTTTGGAAATGAATATTTTATTCACTATATTTGGGTTTCTTGAAAGAACTTATTTACATAGTTCTCAGAGTTAATAAAACCAGAACTGTTCGGTTCATCGCAGTCAATAACGCGACATTTTATTATTTATTATTTCTTATTACTCCTTATTACCTGAAACATGTAAACTTTGGGTGATAAAGAGAAAGAATATATTCACCTTCACGATATTTTTCTACTCGCATAGCGGCATTAATCTGTGAGTGTCATAAAGTAGGCAGAATGTGTATGTTTTTCATTTTAAATATTTGACCGGAATTTCGGGTACAAGATCTGATTATCAGTGATTTTCAATCCGAATCTCAAACAGAGTCGTGCTGAGCCCAAATGAAATGTACAACAGATATACAATGACGCTTGTTTTAAGATGCATATTTGATGGATGATGGTACAACGTTTCTTTTAAAAATTGTTATTTGTGGAACTTGGCTCAAACCTCAATTAATTTATGTAGTTACTATGATATGATTTCAGTCAACTTACTAAAATTCATTACCAAACGAGAAGCTTTGTGTATAAATAAATATATTTGTGGATTAGAGAGCGAACTGATATTCGTTTTGTTTTGTTGGTGATGGCAGATTTAGATTGTCAAATGAAAACACAACCATATCTGCAATATTTTCTTTATTTCACATAGTTCACAACATTGCGTAAAACGATCGCAAGAAACAACGCCTAAATGTTTTGAGATACACAAATGATGATAACATTTGTTTCAAAACTTTTTATTTGTAGAATGCATGTCTTTAGTAAACATGTAAATTACGTCATTGTAAGAGCAGAGTTGTCACATCATTCACTGATTGTGTGAGTGTGAGACGATTTTATTCACTTTGGATCAGTCCTCTTTTTTTCTAAATGTAATGCTTACCCATTACACTCACATAACATGAAATAAACGAATGGTGAAAACTACACATTCGCTTGGTATAAATATTTTAAAACAACCATTATCTTGCACACAACAACAAGACCAGTAGACCGCATAATCAGCATGATATAAAATTCATGTTACAATTCATTTTCTTTATCGTTTAGAATACGAGTAAAAAAGTGAAGAATATAATTATATCATCAAGTTGATGAGTACTTTATTAACCTATGAGAGCTTGCAATTGTTTTATTAGTTTTTGACGCATGTTTCTTTGAGATATGACGATCAGAAAAAAACGTATAAAATCAAACTATTTACCACACACGCGCAATAGCCAATACATCGCGTATGTTGAAATTCATGCTTCAGAATAATTGTCAGCCGAATCACGATGAGTTTTGTCTTCAGTTTATTTTCTCTTTTATATTTACACATTGCTCGTGTCTAACTT